CCCAGGTACATGCCCTTGACCGGAATCGAACCTGGGACCTTTCAGTCCGGAGGCCACGCTCTATCCACTGAGCCAAACCGGTTTCGGCTGAAATGAATTTTAGAAACAACTTGTCAAGATCCACAAAAAAGGATATCTCATCAATTGGGATATATTGAATTCATGATTTGTGTAAATTACAATTTTATTTTTAGTCTTCCCAACACCAAACATGTTATATATTTTCTTTCATTAGGTATTCTTTTATGTCCTTCAGTTATTTTAATTGATCACATCATGATACAAACATTCAAGTTAATTTATGTTGTTCATTTGTACTCCCCTTCCCCCCGCCCCCTCCTTGGGTATATTCCTAAGCATACTAGAGGCCCAGTGCATGAAATTCGTGCACGAGTGCGGGGGGGGGGGGGGTTTCCTCAGCCCATCCTGCACCCTCTAGCAATCTGGGACCCCTCGTGGGATGTCTGACTGCCAGTTTAGGCCTGATCCCGAGAGCGTTGGCTCCTAACCACTCGCTTGCCTGCCTGATTGCCCCTAACCACTCTGCCTGCCTGCCTGATTGCCCCTAACTGCTTGCCTGCCTGCCTGATCACTCCTAACCGCCTCTGCCTCGGCCCCTGCTGCCACGGCTTCGTCCGGAAGGTCATTTGGCTGTCTGGTCTAATTAGCATATTACGCTTTTATTGTTATAGATTAGTTTTAGTTGCTGTTGTGAATGACTTCATTTTTACTACCTTTCCTAATTGGATATCCCTGAGTTATATGTTAACACTGAATATATATATATTATTCTAAATATTATTTATTGAAACTTTCCTACATGTTCACTAACGTAGGTAAGCAGAGATCTAAGTATAAATAAGACTGTATGATGTCACATAGTAACAGCAAATAATTAGAAATAGTCTAAATGTTTATCAATAGAGGACTGATTAGGTAAACTATAGTCCATCAACACAATGAAATGTTTTATAGGCATAAAAGGAATAAAATAGATCTGTTTATTCTGATATGCAATGTTCTCTAAGATACATTGAAAATATATTGTTATGTAAAGAAGCAACAGTGTGTAAATGCTACATTTATGTTTTTTATTGTTGTTAATCCTCACCTGAAGATATTTTTCCATTGATTTGGCTAGGGAGAGTGGAAGAGAGAGAGATAAACATCTCACTCAAAGAGAGTGAGAGAAACACATTGATTGGTTGCCTCCTACATGAGCCCTGACCAAGGCCCAGGCGGGGAGGACCTGCAACCGAGGTACATACCCTTGACTGGAATCGTACCCGGGACCCTTTGGTCCTCAGGCCAACCCTCTATCCACTGAGCCAAACCGGCTAGAGCTACATTTATGTTTTTAAATGTTTGTACATGCATACATATTTCTGGAAGGATACACACTAAATTATTAATGGTGATTATTCTAGAGAAGGAGACTGGGAAATTAGTGTGTGTCAGCAACAATGATGTGTTCACACCCATTTTTCTTTTCCAGGGAACATGGGAAGATTACATTTCCCAACCTTCCTGGGTGATACGATCTCACCAGTGGGAATGTGGACAGAGGAATGTTCACTTCAGCTCCAAGGCAGTAAATGTCATTGTGAATCTTTTCCGCACTCCCCTAACTCCCAGCCTCTCTCCCATCTGAGCAGTTGGGATCAAAGAACTTTGGTGGAGATACTGGGTGGAAGCCCCTGGGATCTGAGTACTGCTGGAGGAGGAGAGCACGCCAACACTGTCCACCTCACATGGTGATGTACTGAGAAGCCAACCTTTGTTACGTTAAGCCACTGAAGTATGCAGGTTTATTTGGTACCATATGTGGTGGATGAAAGATGGCCACACATTTTTTGACACTCCTTTCACGGAAAGCTGGGTCTCTGTCTCCTGTCCTGGAATCTGGGCTGGACTGTGACTATTTTGATCAATGGAATGTTTGCTTTGAATGCTCCCTCTCAGAACGTAGCCACCATGCCCTGAGAAACCTAAGCCACCTGGAGACACAGCTCTAATTGTCCTTCTAGCTAACTGCCAACCTCTCTCGCCAGACAAACGAAAGAGCTGTCATTAGCAACCAAGTCAGCTGAGTCCTCTGATGACTCCACTGCTGGTTGTGACTGGAACCACATAAGAGACGCCCAGCTGAACTCTGCCAACACTCTGAATCATGAGAGATAGTAAAAAAAATGGCCGCATTAAGTAGTAGATAACCAAAAGACCACGGAACAGCCTGTCCTATCCCAACAAGCATGAAAGTGTGGCAAAGCGCCTTTCTCTTACGCTATTTGAATTTTCGGCTATGTGCATGTGATTTATTTTTCAGTCAAAAACAGCTACAATTTTGAACTTAAAACTTCTAAGCACTGGGCCATGAACACTGGTTTCGTATATTTTTGAAGTCACAGCAACAGCCATATTTACTGATCCCCTACTCGGCTGGTGCCAGGGCCCATGATAGATGCTGAAGAAAGAGCTGTGATCAAGGCTGGCTTGATGCCAGCTCTCCTGAAACTTCCAGTCTGGTAGGAGATACAAATCATAAACAACTAAACAAACACAAAAACAGATCCTTTTGGGGAGTGTGAAGTGCTTTGAAAGGAAGAGCAACTAGATGATGATGTAGACATTGACTGGGATGGGGCTCTTTCAGATTGGGTGAACAGGGAAGGTCTTCTGAAAGAAGGGGTAATGCCAGCCCCTAAAAATTCTGGAGGAAAATCGCCAGGAGTAGGGGCCAACCAGGGGGTGCCGCCATGAGTTCGGCAGTGATTTTAGCATTGTGATTCAGTTTTTGTGATTGTTTTTAAACAATCCCTCTGGCTGCTGACGTTGTCTAACCCAAGTGCAAGTTTCAAACTATGTTCCTAAGTACATTAGGTCTCTAAATCACAATATAATCACTTTTTATATTTATTGGCCATAGACTCATGCTTTTTAAACATAATTAAATATAAACATCATGCTAAATGTGAAAAATAGAAATTTGTCTTCACGTATCATGAATGTTATTTAAAATTCTATTTTAAGTGAACTTTATAATACAATCTTTCACAGTCCAAAGATAGAAGATATTTTAAATCAAAATCTTTATTGCATACTATCAAAAAATGGCAAAATTATTTAAAATTTCCCAGGAATGTTTTGCGAGTCAAAAAAAGGGTTAGGAACCCCTGATCCCAATGTGCCCCCTCACCTGAGAATAGCACCTTTGCACCTCACAACTAGGCAGAGCCCTGTTAACATTCCCTTCCAAGCCCACAGCCCCAGCTCCTTTGATGGTGTCGCTAGGCACCTCGAGTCAGTCAGTCCTAAATGGAATTCATCACTGTTGCCAACTGGCTTTGTCCCCCATGGGTACCGTGCCCTTCTCCTGGGCATGCCTTCTAGTGAATGTCACCACCAACCACCACTCCTTCAACAGAGAAGTTAGGCTTGGGCTGGGGCTGAGGACAGCGAAGCCTTAACTCCTGGCAGGGGCAGGGAAGCTTTACTGGAGGAGGTGACCCATGAGCAGGAGCCAGGCTGACTAAGGAGAAGGTGTTTTTTATTTTATTTTAACATATACTTATTGATTTCAGAGAGGAAGGGAGAGTGAGAGCGAGCTAGAAACATCAATGATGAGAGAGAATAATCCATCCACTACCTCCTGCACGCCCCACACTGGGGATCGAGCCCGCAATTCAGGCATGTGCCCTGACCAGGAATCAAACATGACCTCCTGGTTCTTAGGTCAAGGCTCAACCACAGAGCCACGCCGGCTGGACAGAGGTGTTATACTCTTTGGGGGGGGGGGGGGGTCACTGGCATTTACTGCTTTCCAAGTCCTGTGACCCATCATCTGCATCTCAACAAGCCTGTCACCTCCAAGGCCTGTCCGCATCCTCAACGTTGCTCAGTTTCTCGAATTTCCTGGGGATGGACAGGTCTGCCTTCACTCACGGAGAGAGAGCAGGGCCTGCAGGGGCCTTACACAGTGGACCTTGGGATGAGCCTGGGTCTGGTGCATTCCTCCTTTATTCTTCACACCAGCCTGTGTCTGCAGAGCTCTGGACGAGGGGTCTTGCTGGACATAATTTTATGATAGTTCCCTGCAATCCATGATTTACTGTCAAGTGCACCAGGCAGAGATGCTGCTCATCCAGAGGCCAATCGAATAAACTCCCGAATCCACTGAGAGTTTTTATGCCATGGAACCTTTGCACTTGTTCTTCCTGCTGCCTATTCTCCTTCCTCCTGGCCAACTCCTATTTCATCCCTCACAGCCCAACTCAAGTGCCATCACCTCCGGAAAGCAGCGCCTCTTGCCTTCAGCTCCTTCCTCCCCGGTGCTTTCTTATCCACGGTCACATTGTGTGCGCCTGGTGTCAGTGTCGCCTCTGCTCACAGGCCCTGGGTGCCTCAGGGCCGGGCGGGTGTGAGGAGGCCTCCAGGTCCGGGCCATGGGGCGCAGCCTGGCCCAGAGGCGGGTGGGCAAGCATCTGGGGCTGTGCCTGCGGCTGCTGTGGGGTTAAGGGCGCTGGCCCTGGGGCCCCGCCTGCGGACGCGCCCACCGGCTCGGGGAAGCCGCCCGGAGGCTCCGTCCTCGCGTCCCGCTTATTACCCCCGGCAGCCATAGGAGCTCCAACTTGGGTGAAAAAGTTTTAGGGGTCACCTTGGTGTAGACACGGGGGCGGCTTCCCTCCCACGATTGCGTCTCTCCCGCAAATACGCTCTTGGTACAACCCGGGGAATCCCCGCCACGGCCCTCCCCCTGGCGTCACGGAGTCCCCGGGAGGCCCCGCCCCAGCCCACCCGAGCCTTCTAAGGAGCCGTTGCCCACGCGGGACAGGCGGGAGAGCGCGGCCATGGCGGGGCCCTGCGGCGCCGGAGCGCCCGCCGCCCGCTGGAAGCGCCACATCGTGCGGCAGCTGCGGCAGCGGGACCGCACGCAGAAGGCGCTCTTCCTGGAGCTGGTGCCGGCCTGTGAGTGCGCCCCGCGGGGCTGGGATGAGGGCGGCGGAGGGGACGGGGCTGCGGGAAAGCGTCTGGTTTCTCCAGCGGTGACGCCGGTGCACCACTGCCTTCTCGTCTCCGAGGCCTGGGGCCTGCTGCACCCCCATCTGTGACGCCCTGTCTCCCACCGGCCACATCCCTGCCCCTGCCAGCTCAGGCTCTGCTCAGAGCGCCGTCCTGGACGCAGCTCCTCCTCATGCCGCCGCTCTCCGCGCCCCTCTGGGCCCGGCTCTGCTCCGCGAGCTGTGCTTCCGAGGCGGCACCCGTCAGCCAGTGTTGAGGTTGTAGGGTCTCTTGTGCGTCCCCCTGCCGGGCGGTCCCTAAGGCAGAGCCTGGTCAGTCCCCTTGGTCCCCATAGCCCAGTGAAAGGAGGTGGGACTGTCCAGAGCAACTACTGTTTAGCGAATTGAGGAAAGGAGTGAAACTGAATCTCTAGGGGGGAAGCTCAGAGTCTCAGGCTTTGCCGCAGGTAGGTGATCCTGGCTCAGGTTTTTGGAGTGCCTCTGTGCCCAGCCAACGCCGGCCGGAGGGAGAAACGTAGGCCCCAGGCTGCAGGAGGGAGCTAGCTGAGCCCTGGAATCAGACTGTCACAGAGTTGTTTCTGGGTGGCCGGTCAGGAAGGGGTATGGAGATCAAGCGAGATAAACAGGTGTGCATCTGTGTGCAGGGCTTCTGGTCACCAATCCCTCTAGCTCCATCACCGGGCCTAATCTTGGCTGAAGCTTAATCAACCCTCCCTCACCAAACCTCCCCCCACCAGCTGCAAATGTGTGGGCCTGGGGAGACTCCACAGGGCTGAAATCAGACACACTTCAAAGTCCAGTCTTCTCTGTGGTCTTGGGCAGATCATATTCCTAAGCTTCAGATTTCTCGCCCATAAGCTGGGCAAAATGGCATCTTTGGACTTGCTGGGGGGCCAGAGCAGTGCCCTGAGGGCTGGGCTGGGGTTTGGAGGTGAGACGTGGAGGAAAAATTGCTGCGGAGCTAGGCCTGGGCTTGTCACCTCCACCTTATCCTGGAATTGGTGAAAGAAGAGGAAGTGACCGCGGTGGGTGTGGAGGAGGTGTGTTTCAGGGTCTGTAGCAGAAACTACCTGAACTTGAGGAAGTCTGCTGCATAACTGCTCAAGGGCTTTCTGTTTTGGCTGGGATGGTGGCTGGGGTTGGAGGAGGGTGGGGGTGGGAGGGGAGAGGAACCTTCCACCTACCAGGGGAAGTCAGGATTGCTTTTCATCCACTAAGTTAGAGCCCCTGGAGGGGAAGTAAGGCCATAGGCAGGTGGAGCTGTGTGTTTCATCACTCTCTGTGGCCAGGCCCTGCCCTGGGGCTGGGGTTCAACCCTGGCCCCTTCCTTTCTCAGGACCCTTCCCCAGTGGTGGTCATCCTTCTGGGAAAGCAGGTGTTCTCCTGGGAGGGTCTGGAGGCTAGTGCTGTGAGGATGCTGTGCCAAAAGGCTGAAGGTCCTGGTGGAGCTGTATAAACACCCCTTAAGCAAGGGATAGAACCCAATCTGCCAGTAGCTCTGCCATTGGCACCCCTGGGCTCCTGCGGCCTTCCCAGCCAGACAGGGATCCTTTTTGTCTGGAGTTTGCTGGTAAGTGTCTTTGCCCCAGGTTCACCCTCTTGCACCCCTAGATAACCGTCTCCTAGAAAAGGCTGAACTGCTGGCCCGGTTCTCAGACAAGCTGCAGCCAGAGGCAAACGATGTCACTCCTGCTCCCTGGCAGGGCCCTTGGTGAGTGTATGCGTGCTTGTGGTTGTGGTCACAATGGGCTGCCTGTGCCTAGGCCCTGCCCCCACTGCCTATGCTGGGTCCATTCTCTCCCTGGCACCTCATTGGCCCCTGTCTGCTACCCGGGGGGAGGGGTATGTAAGCTCTTCAGCCTTCCCCCAGGCCAGCTGCTTTGAAAGTCCTTCTGTCCTACCCATCTCAGTCCATCTCTGCATTTGTCCCATCTCCTTCCCTTCCCACCCCTACACTTATCTTTTCCCCTTTTCTGTCTCTATCTCTCTCATCTTTTAAAAAAATGTTTTTATTGATTTCAGAGAGAGGAAGGAAGAGGGAAACATCAACGATGATAGAAAATCATTGATTGGCTGCCTCCTGCACACCCCCTCCTGGGGACTGAACCCCTAACCAACTGAGCCTTCCCAGCCAGGACTGTATCCCTAATTCTTTACCCGATGCCTACAGAAAGGGTCTTGCTACCTATTCCGAAGGGGGAGTGAAGATGAGAATCAAGAATGGGTTGGGGCTCAGAGTTGGGAGGTGCTTCTAAAGGAGGGTCCTGACCATGGAAACCAAGGCTGGGGGACTCCCAGAGCTGAGCCATGGACAGCTTCAATTGCTGGAAATGTGCGCTTTCCTCTTCTGGCTTCCACCTTTCTAGGAAAAAGTTCATGATGCTGGTCTCAGGCTTTACATGCACATCGCCCGGGTGAATGGAGGGACAATGAGCACCACTCTCTTGATTGGTTGGCAGGGAGGAGGAGTCGCGGTCTAACTCAGACCAAGTCCCATCACCGGACATTCTGAGGGTGAAATGGCAAGAGGAGAAGGAGGGACTTCGGCTGGTCTGTGGTGAGGTAGGCTGGGCAGGGTCTGAGAATGTGGTCTGAGGGACAACGTAGTGGGGCCAGGATCTAGGATTTTGGGGGATGGAAGATTCAGTCCAAGGGAGTCAGCAAAAGAGGGACAGTCCCCAAGTCCAGTGCCTTGAGGCCAGACAGTCCGATGCGCTCTAGCTTGGCTCTGGCAGCCCAGCATGAAGTGGGCTCCAACAGCAGTTGGAGGAAGTGAGGTGAGAGTTCAGCCCTCCTGGTTCATAGGTCGACGCTCAACCACTGAGCCACGCTGGCCAGGCACTCTCCATTCTTTCAACACATATTTATTGACAATTGCTACATGCAAGGCACAGGAATGCAGCATAAGCAAGACCTGGCCTTATGGAGGTTCTAGTCCACTGGAGGAGACTGATGGACCAGTAAACTCATGCCCAAGTCACCTGCCTAACGAGTGTGGGAAGGGGGCTGTGAATGCAGTGAGAGCCTCTCCCTCAGCGTCTTGTAGTCACAACTTCACACTTGAGAAGTGGTTCTCAAACATCTGAACCCCCTTCTGGGCTGTGAGCACCCCAAGGCCTGGAATGCTTCTGGTTTGCCTCCACTGTGTTCCTGGGGCTTGTCTCCACAGTCCATGCTAATGCATATCTGTAGGCTAAGTGCTGAATGAGGTGGATCATGCACCCCTCCATTAGTGGTCACAGGGCTGGAAACCTGGGGGCACCCCTGACCCTTCCCAGCCCTCTGTTCTGAGCTAGTCACCAGATCATGGATCCTGCCTCAAAATCTACTTCTGTTTCCTATACCATGTCTGGCCTGGTCCAAACTGACCTCATTCCACCCTGGATGACCCCTCTCTTGGCACCCCCATCCATTCTTCATACAGCACTCAGAGTGATATATTTTAATAATAAAAGTGACTTCCATTAGAGAAAAAAATATGCTTGTTGTGAACATTTCAAGAGAACCGAAGTCCATAGAATACAAACAAGTAAGAGCCTCTTTCACCCCCTCTCCCCATTATCAGTTTGGTATATATATATCCTGCCACTCTCTTATCTCTGAGTTCATAGTTCCCTTTGTATGGGATCCCTCCCACACCCCTTGCCCTCAGCACTCCCTCTCCTTCGTTTCCTCAGGCACACACCAGTCAGCCCCCATTGGATATACCAGGGGATGAGGAGGGGCTTTTCCTTTGTTTTTACTGTTTCACATGATCACAACCAACATGTATTATTACTATTATTTGAACTTTTTATTTTGAAATAATTATAGATTCATAGGAAACTGCAAAGACAGTACAGAGAGGACCTGTGTACCCTTTACCCAGTTTCCCCCATTGGTTACATCTTCTGTAACTACAGCACACACAGTCAGGGAATTGATATTGGTGTGAACTGTCTAGTTCTTGGTGATTCTGTCACATGTGTGTAGATTTGTGTGAACATTAAGATACAGCTCTATTTCATCATCAGAGATCTCTCTCTACCCTATTTTAGTCACAACTTATCCCTCTGCCCCAACCATTCCTAATTCCTGTTAGCAACTAATCTGCTTTCCATCTCTATTATTTTAATTTTGAAAAGCATAAAAAAAAAAAGACAAAAAAACCCCAAAACTGAGTACCAAGACATCAATGCAAGTAAATGACAGGTGAGGAAGTGGAAGTGGTGGTCAGACTGCTTAGTGGTGAAAGGAATTATAAATGTTATATAAACTGGGCCAGGTATGAAAGCAGGTCTCCCTGCCTTGTGTGTGCTGGGCCCCTCCCCAGGCCCACAAGAGAGTGAGTAATGTCAGTGCAGGTGGACAGCACCAACCTTGCTCCTCAATCCATCCCTCACCAGGCCCGCCCATGTGAGAACACAGGAACAGGTTACCAATAGAGCCCCAGCCTAGGCTATTTCCTCAGGTTCCTCTGGCCACACTGGTGGGAACTGCATTGTCTAGGGCCTGTCTCTCCCACTGATCCCTCAGCTCCGAAAGGTGGGAGTTGAACTTGATCTCTGTGGCTTCCCCAGCTCCTGGCTGAAGGACTGTTCAGTGAGGCAGGGGTACAGATAAGATGACCCTCACCCCCACTCTTGGGCTGTGGGGCAGCTCCAGCATTTATTCTGGGCCCGGTGCTCTTACATAATCCATTCCTGTTCTTAGGCTGGGTGCCTCTGCTCAGGGTTCCTTCTTACTCTGGGGGATCTGGTCAGTAGGCCAGGGGAACAGAACCCACAACCCTCGAACCCCTCCTGTAGACCAGCCCTTTACTTGGAGCATAATGTTCGGTGGCCTGGGGTCCAATATCAGCTCTGCCACTTAGCTGTGTGACTTTGGGCAAGACACTTAACCTCTCTGTGTCAATGTCCTTCTCTGTAAAATGGCATCACCTACCTCATAGTGATGTTATGGGGATTAAGAGTTAATATGTGTAGAATGCCCAGAACAAGGCATGGAACACATAAGTGCTCTATTAAAAAATTTGCCATTATTTGAAAAACGATTTCTCATAATAATTCCGTATTACCCTATAAGGCCAGCACGATCATTCCCATTTTATAGGTGAGATAACAGAAGGCTGAGGTTGAATGACTACCCCTGGGGTCAGAGAAAAATAAATGGCCACGCCAAGACTGACACGCAGGGATCAGACTTCAGGGCCTAAGTCCCTTCCACGCTCCATGAAACAGCAATGCATTCCGGGGCCAGGCCCGTAGTCTACCTGCGCCTGAGCTTGCTTTTCAGGAAGGGAGCGGGTGGGTGCAGCAGCAGACCCTGGCTGAAGCTCTACAAAGAGGCCCAGAGTCTGGCCTTTAACCGCCCCCAGATGGCCTACCAGGTGGTGGAAAAGACCGCAGCCCTGGGCGCCCTGGAGTCCGAGCTGGAGAAGCGGCAGGGCAGGTAAGGCGCCGGCGGGCGAGCGCAGGGGAACCGCGCCCACGTAGGGGGGCTCTGAGCCCGGGAGGGGGTAGGGGGACGGGTGACCCCGCATGGCTCCAGCAGGACCCGACCGCTTTCCCCTCGTCCCCAAACGCCCGGCACCGCAGGACTCTGAGCGGGTAAGGCTGGGTGGGAGACTTGCCTTAGCTGCTTGGCTGGCGCGTGGCCGCGGGCAAGTCCGCCCCAGCTCGGGGACCCGTTCCCACGGGGAAGTGACGTCGGCTCGCCCCCGGCTCCAGGCTGGCGGCTCTGGAGGAGCAGGTGGCGCAGCTGCAGGAGGAGCGGGCCCAGCACGTGAGGCAGGTGGACGTGCGGCGGTCGCGGAACGTGGCGCAGCAGGCGGCCTACGAGGCGCTGCGCCTGCAAGCCCGGCTGCAGGAGGCGGCGCTGCGCAGGCTGGAGGAGGAGGCGCGCGACCTGCTGGAGCGGCTGGTGCAGCGCAAGGCGCGCGCGGCCGCCGAGCGCAACCTGCGCAACGAGCGCCGCGAGAGGTCAGGGGGCTGGGTCCCGTCCCCGGAAAGGGAACCCCTTGCCCCTTCCCCAGGAAGGAGGACCCTCGCGCTCTGGGGAAGGGGGCGGCGCCCTGCGCCTGTATACCAGGAAGTGTTTATACCCCCAGGGCCAAGCAGGCGCTGGTGTCCCAGGAGCTGAAGAAGGCTGCCAAGCGGACAGTGAGCATTAGCGAGTAAGAGAGCCTCGGATGCTGGCTCGGCCCCGTGTGTCCTGTAGTGCCCTGCTCTTGGGCCGCTGCCTCCACCTCTACCTTGCCCCACACCTGCCTGCGGCACATAGACTGCGGCCCCAGGACACGCACAGACACGTGTGGCCATAGAAGCCAGCACCGGGCCTGTCATGTGTGCGCCCACCCTGACCCCTTATCACGGGGTTTGCACATCTTCACCCTGTGGGGCTCTGGGACAGGGAGGGGCTGGCCTGGTCCCTTGGCCTTTCTGAGCTCCATTTGCTCTCCCAGGAACCCAGACACCTCAGGCAATGAGACCAGAGAGAAGGCTGAGATGACTCTCACTCTGCTTGCTGAGCCTGAGTTTCTGGAGAGTGAGGCTGGTGAGAAGTTGAAGAGGCCCTTCAGGTGAGGACTGGCCCAGAACTCTGAGCTGAGCCCCACCCCAGAGTCTTCCAGTGAGACCTTGAGCCTACTCCTGGGTTGGGAGGGACCTTGGAGAGACACTGGGGTACATACAGCTCAGACCTCCTAGGACAGGTCTGACCTCCAGGGCCACCTCAGGGACCCCAACCCTGTCCTCACTCCTTTCTTTCCTCCCCAGGACCAGATCTCTGGGGGTGGGGTGTCAGGCTGGTGAAAGGGTGTCACCAGGAGGGAACCTGTGGGCAAGGCCGGGGGCTCAGCTGTTGAAGGCATGTGTGTGCATACACAGGGATAGGAGAGCACACGAGTGTGCAAGCCTGGGTGAGCATACTTGAATGCGTGTGAGAATCTGAGCATGTGTAGATAGATGTGAGCTCACACAGTGGGACCGATTGGGATTTCAGTCCTCGGGCCCCGCCCCTCCGTTTCCTCATTTGTCTTGATTTGCCTGGCATTGAGGCTGCCCTTCCCTGCCCCATTCCCCAGGCCGAAAGCTCTCCTGCAGCTCTTCCTTGCAGGTCACTGGTGCCTAGGCCTCAGGGCAGCGAAGGAACCTTGGGGAGGGGCATGCGATCCTGGTCCCCAGAGCCCTTGAGTGTCCCGGTGAGCCAAGTCCTCTCCTGAGCATTTTTGAGGTCTCAGCAGATCTAGGTCCTCACATCCCCCTGCCCTCAGCCTTATGCTATTCCAACCTGGAGACACCTTCACCATCACCCCACTCCATAGGCCCCGCTCAGTCTCCCAGGAACTTTGGCTGGGGAACTTGGGTGCTGGGGCATTTCTTACCATCATGGTGAAAACTTTGGGAGACTTCATTGCCAACTCTCTGTCTGCCTCCATCTTCATCTGCTCTGGGTCATGCCACTCTCCGGATCTTCGAGGAGCCAAGTTCCAGAAGCTGTGAGCTCCAGGGCCCCTGGCAGAGTAGGCTCGAACGACTGCTGTCTGCACACCCACCGGCCAGCCCCTTAGCACGTCTCTCTCTCGATTCTGCCCCAGGTCTGCCTCCGCCACCTCCCTGACGCTGTCCCGCTGTGTGGATGTGGTGAAGGGGCTTCTGCAGTAAGTGTGTGTACACACCGACGTGTGTGAAGGGATAGGGCATCTTGGAGCCTCGTGTGCAGCTTTTCAGACTTGGTCTGCGTGCGTACCTCAGTCTGCCCATCTGTGTTGCCCAGCAGTCTGTGCGAGTCTCTGCGGAGCCCCACAGGCCGAGCTGGGTGCATGGCCTCATTTTCAGCTCCTGCTCAGCTCTCCTCCAGGCTGTCCCTCACTGAATTTCCTCACAGGGGACCAAGAGTTGCAGCCTGAGGCTGCACAGGAGCTACCACTCAGTTGGGAAACAGGTTCAGAAATCTCAGGGACTCGTTCAGGGTCACAGAGCCAAGGAGTGACAAGACCAGGGCTGAAACCCCAGCCCCGAGGTTTCTCTGCATCCATCCACTCTGCCCCGTCTCTCTGCATTTCTCTGTGCCCCTGTCATCTCCACACTGACCCCTGGGGTCAGAGGCCAGGTTGGGGACTGTGCTCCCCACGCCTCCTGGCCACCTGCTGTTGCCTTCGATGTCTGCTTCCTGTTGTTGCTGCCTCAGAGGAACTTGCTGAATGCCCTCCTGACCCTCCTCTCCCCCCAGTTTCAAGAAGAGGAGAGGACACTCAATTGGAGGACCCTCCGTGCAGCAATATCAGAGCATCCCTGTGTGCGTGGCTGCCCGACTTCCTACCTGGGCTCAGGATGTGCTGGTGAGGAGGAGCTGGGCCACATGCATCAGGTGCTGAAACGGGCAGTGTGGGCCCCAGGAGTGGTCCGAGGAGGCCAGGGAAGCAGGGCTGGGCTCTTCAGCAGGAGCAGGAGTTTTTCTGCCACAGCTTGTGGTGGGCGTCCCTCAGCCATTTATAATAGGGGCATGGACTGGAGAGGGAGAGACAGGAGGCCAGCCAGGAAGTATGGGGTATCAGCCAGGGGAGGCTGCTGCAGGGGTCTAGGCAGAGATGATGAGACCCTACTGTGTGCACCAGCGCATGTGAGAGAGCCCGTGAGCATGCACAAAGAGGCCTGTGTGGCAAGGATCAGGGGCACCAATCTCTCCTTTTTTTTCCTACAGGATGCCCACCTTTCTGAGGTCAATGCAGTTCGTTTTGGTCCCAATAGCAGCCTCCTGGCCACTGGAGGGGCTGACCGCCTCATTCACCTCTGGAATGTTGTGGGAGGTGAGGGTCCCTCCCCTGCAGGCCAACCCTATGCTTTCTCTCCAACCCCCCCCCCCCCCCCTCAGCTTGTTTCTTGGTGGGTAAAGGTCTTGGATCTCTTTATGTTTCCTCACGTGGACTATTCTTGTGGGCAGTGGCCAGATGATTCCTTGGCAAGAGTGCTGAGCTTGCTTTTCTGAAGAAGGGTAGAGTCTTCTAGCTCCTGGGGTCCAGGCCTGCAGGATGAGGAGGGCTGAGCTCACATGGTCCCTGTTAGGAGATGAGGGGTTCTCTCGGCCACTTCTTTTATTTTTTATTGATTTCAGAGAGGAAAGAGGAGGGAGGGAGAGAGAGAAACATCAATGAATAGAGAATCATTGATTGGCTGCCTCCTGCATACCCCACATTGAGGACTGAGCCCGCAACCTGGGCATGTGCCCTGGCCAGGAATCAAACTGTGACCTCCTGGTTCATAGGTTGATGCTCAACCACTGAGACATGCCGGCTGGGTGCTAGGCCACTTCTGTTACCATTTGAACGCTCAGAACTCAGTAGGAAACCAATGTTAGCTAGCTACTTTGGGCTGTGTGTGTGTGTGTGTGTGTGTGGAGGGCGAGAGGAGAGGTGGAGTGGGTGGGTATTGGGAAGTTAGAGCCAGCTTCTGGAGGCTTCCTAGAGGAGTCCGATCTCTAGCTGGCCTGGCCCTTGCTGTGTGACCTAGGGACAGCCCCTTTTCTCTAGTCCTCTTTAGTGCTGTGAAATGACCAGCTATCCTCTGGGGCCCCCTGCTGGCAGGTTGGGAAGGTGCAGCCCAGGCCCCCAGAACAGACCCGACAATTCTGTCCCTAAATTGGGAAAGACCGATTTTCTCACTCTCCATCCCAGCTCCCCGTTTTCGTGAGGTGAGTGACCTCATTGCACTCTATCTTCCCCTGGTTCCCCCAGGTCGCCTGGAGGCCAACCAAACTCTTGAAGGAGCTGGTAGCAGCATCACCAGTGTGGACTTCGACCCCTCGGTGAGAGGCCTTTGCCCCAGTCGCATGGGATGTTTCCTTCCCCCCAGTCTCCACCCTAGGCAGCTGGGGGCTCTTAGAAATACATGGGTATCCTAGAACTGGGCCCTCAAATCCTCCTCTGCCTTCCCGGGGGACCTGGGTTGTGAGAGAAGCCTCAAGGTGGCCCATCCCAGCTCTCTGGCCTGAGGGATGTTGCCTCTGGCCAGGCCCAGGTCTCTGACCTCTCCTACTCTCATCTCTCCAGGGCTCCCAGGTATTGGCAGCTACTTACAGTCGGGCTGCTCAGCTCTGGAAGGTGGGAGAGGCACAATCCAAGGTGAGGTCTGACTGGGGAGACCGCCTGGGGATCAGGTTCATGCCCTGGGCCTAGAGGGGGGTGTTATGGAGTCTTGACTATGCCCTTGATCCATATTTGGGATGGGGGGGGGGTGCAGGAGACACTATCTGGACACACAGACAAGGTGACGGCTGCTAAATTCAAGCTAACGAGGCACCAGGCGGTGACTGGGAGCCGAGACCGGACAGTGAAGGAGTGGGACCTTGACCGTGCCTACTGTGAGGCCCAGCCCCCCAACCCCCCCGCCCACACCCTCCTCACCCCCCAGGCTGGTCAAGGAGGGACCTTGACCTTCTCTCTGGAAGTGTTTCTAAGATTCATAGGCATTTGGTGTGAAACCTCCCAAGGCCCCTCCTTCTCTATCCCCATTGGTGCTTTCAGTTTTTTGGTGACCTTGGGCTTTGGGCTGGGAAGCAGGGGACCCGGGTTCTAGTTTTGGGAGGCTTCTGGGCTTCAGCTTCTCATGTGTCTGCGGGTTGGCTCCTGACGACCCTTCTCTGAGGCTGGGGCTCTGCTCCTTGTTCCCTAGGCTCGAGGACCATCAATGTCCTTTCCTACTGCAACGACGTGGTGTGTGGGGACCATGTCATCATTAGTGGCCACAATGACCAGAAGATCCGGTTCTGGGACAGCAGGTGACAGGCTGTGCATGGCGGAGGCGCAGGGGCAGGCTCCCATGTTCTCTTTCCTTTCTGTGGCTGTGGAGCCCTGGTGGGCACCTCGGGGAGGGGAGGCTGTGCTGGGCTTGGCCCGTGAAGGCTCAGCTGGTGGACCTCTGCCACCTCAGGGCTTCTCCTTCCAACCACGGGACTCTGCCTGGGCCTTGACAGCCAAGATCTAGCAACCCCTTTTCCCACATAGTCACCACTTTTTAATCAAAAGGAACACAAGTTTCAGTTGTATTTAAAACCTAAGAGCCCAACATTGGGCTCGAATGGTGGTAAAGGCCAGTGCCAAGCCTGCCTCCGGCTGCTCCTTGCTCGTCTGCAGGGATTGCCGTTGGACACCCTTGCTGTCTTTCACGCGTGTGAAGACAGACTTCCTTGCTTTTCCTCTGGCCTTTTAAAAAAATAAATTGATTTCAGAGAGGAAGGGAGAGGGAAAGAGAGAATCAGTGATGAGAGGGAATCATTGATTGGCTGCCTCCTGTACGCCCCACACTGGGGATCGATACCGCAGCAGGGCATGTGCCCGGACTGGGAATTGAACCATGACCTCTTGGTTCATAGGTCGACATTCAACCGCTGAGCCATGCCAGCCGGGCCCCTCTGACCTTATTTCAGTGACCCAAGGGCTTGAGGGGCTGCTCAGGTTCCTGTTGGGGGGGCCTGTCTGCAGTGGGAGGTCAGTCACTGTGAGCCTTGGCCTCAGTGCTGAGACCTGGGTGCCCCTGTCAGGGGGGCTGCTGCTCATCCCCATCTCTGTCCTTGCTCCTTAGGGGGCCCGGCTGCACACAGGTCATCCCTGTGCAGGGCCGGGTCACCTCCCTGAGCCTCAGCTACGATCAGCTGCATCTGCTCAGCTGTTCCCGTGACAACACACTCAAGGTCATCGACCTGCGTGTCAGCAATATCCGCCAGGTGTTCAGGTACCTGCCTCATGGCCTCTGGCCTGTGGCTTTGGCTGGGGTAGTTGGGCCTCTTGTCCCCTATAAAAGGCTCCCCGGGGCCTGCTGAGGTACCCGATCCCTTGACGGCCACCTCCACTCTGACCCAACTCTTGTCTGTCCTCAGAGCTGATGGCTTCAAGTGCGGTTCTGACTGGACCAAAGCCGTGTTCAGGTGTGTATGTGAGAGCACATGCCTACCCAAGTGTGCCCCATCCGATTGTGTCTGTGTGTCAGTGTCTGTGTGCCAGTGTGCGTGTGTCCTCACCTCTGACCACCTCCTCTCTCTTGCTGTGCCGTGGTCACTGCAGCCCAGACAGAAGCTTTGCACTGGCCGGTTCCTGGGACGGAGCCCTGTATATCTGGAATGTGGACACTGGGAAATTGGAGAGTAGCCTACGGGGACCCCACTGGTGAGCATGGCCACCACCCACCTGCCCACTCTAGCCTCAGGGCCACTGCCGCCCTGCCTCCAGTCCCACTGAGACCAGTTCAGGTTCTGACACGCTTGGGCCCTGGAGTCCCCAGCCCTTGTGTCCATATCTTCCACCTCCCAGAGCCCTTTACTGTTCACAAGGTGCCTTTTCATATGCGCTTGGGTCCATCTTCGCCGTAGTCCTGTGAGCCTTTTATAGGGAAGGAAATGGGCTCAGAGAGAGCCTCAAACTGCCCAGGCCCAGTACTGAGGGGCAGCGCCAGGCTGCAGGTCCACCTGGCACTCCCCTGAAGCCTGGCCCTCCCTCTCCTCAGCGCTGCTGTCAACGCCGTGGCCTGGTGCTGCTTGGGGAACCACGTGGCGAGCGTGGACCAGGCCGGGAAGGTTGTGCTCTGGCACTAGTGCCATGACTTCCCCTGCCTGGGCTGGAGCTCTCATCCGAAGCCTGAAGCCAGAGGACAGCTTCCCCCTTCACTGAGCTCCAGGGCCAGTGGGCCAGCGAGGTGTGGGCAGGGTGGGGTGGTCTCAGGGCAGTTAGTAGGGAAGAAGGCCTGGCAGGACCTGGCCTGTTTGTTTAAAAATGAAGTGTGGGTTGGGGGTGATTACAGTACATTTTGTTTATCTCTGTCTCTTTACTTTCTCTGCCAAAAGTGGAAAAAAATTACGTCTAAACTGGTGTCAGCTTGCCTCTTTGCAGCACTCAGGGAACAGAGAGGCCTTTGGGCTGGTGGCTCAAGGAAATCCAGGCTTGGCCCCCTTTCCTCCTTGGGCACAGAACTGGGCAGAGCTGGCCTGGCCTCCGTGCTACTCAAGTCTGAGAGGAGACAGCATGAGAAAGGCCAGAGGCAGCAAAGGGCAGTGATTCTTGGAGCCATGGGAACATCACCCTTGGTCCACGCTGGTCCTGAGGCCAAGCCAACACCTTGGGCCCACTCAGAGTAGACAGGCCGAGGAGGGGCCGTGGGAGTCCGAGGAGGGAGGAGGGGAGGCAGCCGGGAAGGGCCCTGGTGGAAAGGGTCCTAACGAATTGGAAAGTGATGGCAAGTACTTGGGACACAGGCCTGCCTTTAGACCAGGCAAGTTCTTGCTCCAGAGGCAGAGCCCGAGTAGGTGGGGAATGGCCTGTGTGTCTGGGAGGGTAGCAGTGGACTGGGTTTGGGCCTGGGCCGTCGCTTACATCAGCATCTGATTTAATCTTCACAATATGCCGCCGAAGTGCAAGGCAGACCCAACAGGGTAGAGCCTGGGGACCCCCTTTCCTTCATCCTCCTGGGGCACGGCGGAGGGGTCAGCAGGACGACCGCTGTCCGGAGCGATGAGGGCTGACCTGTGGGGATCTGCCCAGCTGAGTCAGAGGCTCCACTCTAGAACCTAAGCCTCCTTATCATCTTACAGTTTCCCTTGGGGTCGTTGCCAGTCCCAGGGTTTTGGAAACCATTTCCAGAATGGACAGCAGAGAGCTAAGAGCCTGGACTCTAGCCGACTGTCTGGGTGGGACGCTCAGCTCCGCTATTTAGCAGCTGAATGGTTTTGAGCAAGTTATCGTCTCTGTGCCTCAGTTTCCTTCTCTGTAAAATGGGATGTATCGTACACCTCAAGGATTGTTGTAAGGCCCCATTGTGCTAGTACTAGTATTTGTAGAGCTCCTGGCACATGCCAAAGACTGTGTGTTGGTCAAGTACCCAAATCTGCTGACTCCAGATCACTCACTGCTCTTGGTCGCCCAGCTGACCCCTGAACTCTAGGTGAGATACCCAGCTGCCTCCTGGGCCTCATCCCCCCCCCCCCCCCCCCCCGCCCGGCATAAGCTCCTCTTCCCCTCACACGGCATATCCTCTGGCACCAAGGCCTGGGGCCACCATGTCTCTTTCCAACCCTGCTGCCACTGCAGGCCACCTTCTGGATCTCCTGTTACCCCACCGGCCCCCTCCTTGCCATCATGACGTTCTAAGGTGTCATGGTCACATGTTCAACCATTTGGAGTCCCCTGCTGCCTGCAGAGAAACTCGGCCTGAATTTCAAAGCCCTTGGACCTACCCTGCTGGCCTCGGCTGCATCTTCATGTCCTGGTTACTCTGAATGTGTCTTCCATGTGATTTTCTCTCTATTCAGACTGTTCTTCCCTCCAGTCCCCAATTCACATTTGCCTCATTTGCCAGGCTGGCCAGGGCCCGCCTCCGGTTTGTGCTCCAGTCTGTGTCTGCCTCCCTTCAGCGTTAGCAGAGAACTCTTGGAAGAGACCAGGATGGGAAGTATTCCCTGGGGTCAGACCTGGCACAGAGAAAGCCCCAGGAAATGTTTAAGTGGCTAAATTCTGCCCGAGGACTGCAAGTCCAACAGTTGAAGACACTTGGAGTCCAGCGTTCTTAGAATCTAAAATTCCAGAGGCTCATGTCCTGGCTCCAGGTGGCCACCAGGAGTCACCAGCTGCCTGGTGTCTGCTGAGGCCATGCCGTCTCCTGGGATTCATGGCCAGAAAGACCAGCGCTTCCAGGAGCCACCATTACCCAGTGCTCGTGTCAGGCCCTGTGCTCTGCACTTTTCCTGCGGTCTCTCTTTAAAAAATTATTTTTTTTTAATCCTCACCTGAGGATATCTTTCCGTTGATTTGAGAGTGGAAGAGAGAGGGAAAGATAGAGAAAATATCGATGTGTGAGAAACACATTGATTGGTTGCCTCCTGCACATGCCCTGACCAGGGCCTGGGCTGTGGAGAGGAGCCTGCAACCCAGGTACATGCCCTTGACCGGAATCGAACCCGGGACCCTTCAGTTCACAGGCTGACGCTCTATCCACTGAGCAGCCGGCTAGGGCATCCTATGGTATTTTATTTGTTCCCAACCACCTTGTGATGTAGGTATTTCTTTTACAGAATAGAAAATCGAGGCTCAGAGAGGTTAAGTGATGTGAGATTACACAGCTGGCACAGCTGGATTGCGACTATTATACTTAAAAACACACACAAACCAACCAGAGAATTTGGGCTCCAGTTAGGCAGAGCTGCATGGCATCCCCCCACCCGTGTCCCCGTGGTGTACCCCCTGCCAGGGGGTGATTCCTCCCTGCATCTTCTTTTCCATTCTGGGCCCTGGGCCTGAGCTTGGAGGGTTAGTGTCTTTTGCAGTGAGGGACATGCAGGGCCACAGGAGTGAGGGAAACAGGAGGCTGTTATCAGCTATACCGTTTGGGGCAAGTCCCTCACAGGACTGCAGCGAAGACTGCTTCGATAACAGAAAAGGTGCTCAGGAAATGATCTGACTCGACTCCTGGGACAGCACCCCCTCCGCTCCCCTTAAGCCTCCTCTCTATGGGCCAAACTGACAGCACACCCTTGGGGTGCAGTGGCCTCACCTGAGGGAGCACACAACCTTCACTTATGTGGAAGGAATGCTTCCTGGAGGAGCCAGAGATGTTCGGGGATGAGGTGGGCCTGGAGGAAGAGTGGCTGGCCACGGCCGGGTGGGGCAAATGCTCCAAGGGGATGCGGCTGGGAAGGCTGCGCCTGGTCTCTGCAGCCCCTGCTCGTGGAGGTGGGGGCAGAGCCCTGGTGCTGAACGCTGATCCAGGCTCTCAGTAGTTGGTACCCAGGTTTTCAGTACTGAGCACTGTGCAGGGAGTATTCAGATGTTCAGGCTGCTTCCCAGGGAGGGGGCAGGGACTTGCGCAGGATAAGAACTCAGGCCTGTCCCTCTTTTCTGGAAACTGGACTCAGGTTCTGCAGAGGGACTGGCCTGGTCTCCTGGGAGAGCCCGGGCAAAGCAGTGTCTTCCAGGGCATGGAGCGTCCGATCTGAGTCCTCCTGCCCCATGACTCTGGGCCTCGCCACAGGTGACCCTCACCAAACAGCTCCTCCCTGGGCTGTTCTGCTGGTTTGAGTACTGCATCCTCTGCCTGCCCTGCCCACTCTCAGATCTCATGAGCCTGAGACCCCCAGAGGGAGGAACCCTAGTTTGGGGCTCCAGCTGCCCCCTGGTCATCTTCCTGTCTTGGGAGACGCTTGGCTCAGGTCTCCCATTCCTGAGTCTCCCCCTGGGTAACGGGGGAGACATTTGTGTCACCAGAACATGGCCTGGAGCAGTCAGTTTGCTGACAGGACAAACAACAGTTGGATAGATGTTCTCTGGAGGAATCCTGGCAGCCCCAGGCACGGACCCACCTGAGGCTAAGACCAAGTCAGTGCAAGGCTGTTTCCTTTCTCTGGATGCACATCCACTAGTTAAAATTAATATCAGCTTATCTGTACGTCATCTTATTTGATCCTCCTGGAGCTTAGGGCATTTGTATTACCTTTTCTTCTTTTTTTTAAATTAAATCTTTATTGTTCAGATTATTACATTTGTTCCTCTTTTCCCCCCCATAATTCCACCTAGTTCCCACCCCACCCTCCGCCCTCACTCCCCACCCATTGTCCTCATCCATAGGTGTACGGTTTTTGTCCAGTCTCTTCCCGCGTCGCCCACACCCCTCGCCCATCTCCCCCAAGAATAGTCAGTCCATTCCCTTTCTATGTCCCTGATTCTATTATAATCACCAGTTCATTCTGATCATCAGATTATTGATTCACTTGATTTTTAGATTCACTTGATAGATGTGTATTTGTTGTTCATAATTTGTATCTTTACCTTTTTCTTCTTCTTCCTCTTCTTAAAGGATACCTTACAGCATTTCATATAATACTGGTTTGGTGGTGATGAACTCCTTTAGCTTTTTCTTATCTGTGAAGCTCTTTATCTGACCTTCAATTCTGAATGATAGCTTTGCTGGATAGAGTAATCTTGGTTGTAGGTTCTTGGTATTCATCACTTTGAATATTTCTTGCCACTCCCTTCTGGCCTGCAAAGTTTCTGTTGAGAAATCAGCTGACAGTCATATGGGTACTCCCTTGTAGGTAACTGTCTTTCTCTTGCTGCTTTTAAGGTTCTCTCTTTGTCTTTTGCCCTTGGCATTTTAATGATGTGTCTTGGTGTGGTCCTCTTTGGATTCCTTTTCTTTGGGGTTCTCTGCACTTCCTGGACTTGTAAGTCTATTTCTTTCACCAGGTAGGGGAAGTTTTCTGTCATTATTTCTTCAAAGAGGTTTTCAATATCTTGCTCTCTCTCATCTTCTGGCACCCCTATAATTTGGATGTTGGTACGCTTGAAGCTGTCCCAGAGGCTCCTTACACTATTTTCGTATTTTTGGATTCTTTTTTCATTTTGCTTTTCCGGTTGGGTGTTTTTTGCTTCTTCGTATTTCAGATCTTTGACTTGATTCTTGCGATCCTCTGGTCTGCTGTTGGGAGTCTGTATAATATCCTTTATTTCAGTCAGTGTATGCTTAATTTCTAGTTGGCCCTTTATCACAACATTGAGGGTCTCACTAGATTTCTTGAGGATCTCATTGAGTTTATCAGCGGTTTCTAGAAATTTCTTGAAAAACTTTAAAAGTGTGGTTTTGAACACTATATCCAGTAGTTTGCTTTCTTCCATTTCTGTCATTTGTGTCCTGTTTCTTTGTGTTGGCATTTTTTATGCTTCGCTGTGTCTATAGAGTGGCTTTCTGTGCTAAGTGTCCTATGGGGCCCAGTGGCTCAGCCTCCCTAATTACCTGAGGTAGACATTCTTGGTGCACCCCCTTGTGGTCTTTGTGCACAGTCTTGTTGTAGTTAAGCCTTGATTGTTGTAGGTAACACTG